TTTAGGTACCTTGCTCTGGAAAAAACTAGGAATAGAGAAATCAGGGTAGGGATGCAGGACTGGGTTGGGGGCATAGAAGGGAGGCCTGTGTGGACTTAGAAAGAGCTAAGGGTGAAAAACACCTGGCATGGTGTGATGAGTAGAACCGAAAGAATGAAATGAGAATGGATGAAATAGAATTAAAAGGGATGGCATGAAATAGAACTGTATGGAAGTGAACGGAACTGAATGGAAATAAATACATTGAATAAAATGAAATCGGATTCAAAACTGTAATAGAGTTTAATGGAAAGGAGTCAAATGCCATGGGACAGAATTGAATGCAGTAGAAATGAATGGGATGGGATGGAAGGAATGGAAAGAACAGAGCAGGGAGGGGTGGGCAGACACGGAGGCTGTGCCGGCCTGCCCACTGCAGTCTCTGACTTCCTCCCACTTGTCTGACAGTCTTCCCCAAGGTGCTGCTGCGGACCCTCCGCCACCCCATCTTTCTGCTGGTGGTCCTGTCTCAGGTGTGCATGTCATCCATGGTGGCAGGCATGGCCACCTTCCTGCCTAAGTTCCTGGAGCGCCAGTTCTCCGTCACAGCCTCCTTCGCCAACATGCTCATTGGTGGGCTCTCCGTCCCCATGGCCATTGTGGGCATCGTGGTGGGGAGTGTCCTCATCAAGCGTCTCCGCCTGGGCCCCATGCGCTGTGGAATGCTTTGCCTGCTGGGGTCGCTGCTGGCTCTGGTGGTCAGCCTGCCTCTCTTCTTCCTTGGCTGCTCAGCCCACCCGATTGCAGGCATCACTCTGCAGCCTGGGTGAGTGTGTAGGGGGGCGGGGTGGGCAGTGGCCCTGGGCAGAAGCCAGGTCAGTGGGCACCCCTGCCACACTCCCAGCTCCCTTGTGTCACCCCCTCCTGGCTCACTTCTGAGCAAGGGACATTCTCTCTGGAAGGCTCCGGTGACCCAACAGGCACTCATCAGGCCTGTGGAGGGCTGGAGGTCAAGGCAGAGAAAAGCTACCTGTGGGTACCTCCAGAGTGCCTGAGGCCTGTGTGCCCAGCTGAAGTCGGAGAGGCCACACTGTAGGAGACAGGACCCAGCTCAGCCAGAGGAAGGCTTTTGCTCCAGGCGGAGGTTAGGCCTGTCCAGAAGAGAGCAAGCTCCATTCCTGGGGAGCTAGGGTGGGAGAACAACTGAGCAGTGGCTGGGTGGCCCCTTCACGGAGGCTGCAGAGAAGAGTTAGGCAAGAGAAGGAATATTCTGGAGTATTCTGAGATTCTTGGCTCTTAGAGACTGAGAGCTAAAATTCTGTTGTTCCGTGACCCAAGCATTCCAGAATGCTTGGTCCTTGTCTCTGAGGCAGTGTCGTGCCTCTGTCCTTCAGGAGAAAGATTCTTGATGCTTTCTTCCTGCCATTGCCCAACAAATAGACCCTCTTCCCTTCTGGAGAAGTTGAAAATTGAAAGTTGAAAAGTTCCATCCCTGCCTCTTCCCCCAAATGATCTCATTTTTCCTGAAAATGACTCCAGGCTTAGTTGGCCTAACGCGCAGCTAGAATTCCCCCACTTCCTCTCTCCCACCTACTCCTTGGCATCCCCTCCACCGGTGCGTGCGTGCACCTGATTTCCTCACCTGGGGCTCCTTCTGCATGGCTGGAGGCCTGGCTCAGGGCCAAGGTCCCCCCAAGTCTCACCCTTATGATCTTCCCCACCCCCGTCTGCTCCCCCCACTCCCTCCGTCTCCTGTCTCCTCTCCTTTTTCTGGAACTGGGAAGCAATTTGGCCAGCTATGCCCTTAGGAAGTCCCTAGCCTGAGGAGGGATGCAGGCCCTTTCAATGAGTTTTTGCGTGAAAAGTAAATGGATATTTTACCACAATTTTTTCAAGTACATGGGAAAGGTCAGCCCACCTGTCCTGCCCACCTCTCCTTCTCCCTCTCACCCCTTGGCTTTGACAGCTCACCTTTGTTAGCACCCACATTCTTGCAATTAATTCACCAAGCTCGGAGTTCTAAGTCATGAAGAAACTTTTGGGAACTAATTGAATAGGTCAAGGAAAACCTCATATTTCTGTACAGCTAGTGATACGGACAGAAAATGGAGGGTCTCCTATGTACCCAACTCCAGGCCCAGCACTTCCTCCATTACATCTTTCTGAGTCTCCTTGTGCCTGTTTTACAGATGAGCATAGTGAGGCTCACAGAAGTAAAGTCACCCACACAGAGGACAGAGCCTAGGTCAGCACTTTCCCTACAGAAGCAGCCAGCTCCATGTGGTCAAGAGAGAAGAGGGACTGAGGAAGAGCCCCTCACCAGCTCTCACATGCTTGGTCTTCCAGCTGCTGGCAGGAGGCGCTAGAAAGTGCCTCTCTTCTGGCAGCTTCCCCTGGCAGATTCCTGATGGGTCCACAGCTCAGTCAGTGCCAGCCTGTGCCACTTCCCATGGCAGACTTGCCAAGACCCAACCAGATACAGGCGCACTGTCCAGCAGGCGGGGAGGAGGCGGAGAGCTGCACTGACGATGATCTTGATGATCTTTGCCCCCACTCAGAGGGGACGAGGGGTCCCCTGCCCTAGGCGGGGCAGAGCTCACCTCTGCCAGATGCCCCTACCCTTCCCCAAGCTTTCTAAGCCCATCTCAGCAGCTTTTCCTCTCCCAGCCTCCCTAGCCCCTGACAACCCTCCCACACACGGAACTGAGAGTATGCCATGCTTGCCAGGTCCCTGCTCAGCCCACGTTTCTGCCATGTGCCCATCCTGAGGCCAAGAGGGTGCCCAGCTTCCCCCACTGGCTCCCTCCTATATGATGTGGCCAGTGGCACCCTGGGACCCTGAACCAGCCTCTCTATATCTCTGTCTTCTGGCAGATTTGCTGTGCCCCGCCCCATGAAGCTAGGTCATAGCCTCTGTCCCAGGGGCCACTTTTCTGCCCCTACCAGAGGGATCTTCCCCCTCCAATTCAGCCTCCTGCCTCTGTCCACCCCCGCCTTGCCCTGGCCAAGTGGGCAGGGGCACCCTGAGGTTTGAGAGCATCCCTCAGCGGAGGCAGGTGGGACCGAACACAGTGAGAGGACAGTAGATAGGCAGGGAGGTCGTGAGACTTCAGGACAGCACCAGGGAGAAAGGAGCCCCAGCCTCGCCGACAGACAGAGAAACTGAGGCCGAGAGGGAGGCAGGAGCAGGTTGGAGATCCCATATCTGGTCAGGTCCCCCGGCTGAACGCCCACCTCCATTCATGGCTGGACTTTTCTGAGAAGAGGAAGTAACCCAACTCCTGGAAAGAAAGGCCTCTTCATCCGAACTCCAGGAGGAATTTCCCTCGAGTTCCCTATGCAAGTGCCACTGGGAAGTGGGCTGTTTGCAGAAGCAGCTCAGAGATGGGCAGGAGCCAGGGCTGGCAGGGGGCTCAGGCCATGGCCCAGACTCCCCACTTCTGCATCAAGCGCCTCCCAAACTCAGCCCCTCTCCCTGCTCACACTTCCCCATGGGCTGCCCGAGCAGTGAAGCCCTCCCTGGGGGGCAGTTCAGAGTTCTGGCGCCGACTCTCTGGGTTGGGAGCCAGGCTGCCGGCCTGGGGAAGGAGAGCCAGGCCAACCCTGCTGCCTTCTCTTTCACCAGCACCGGAGCGGAGCTGTTTCCAGGCTGCATGGAACCCTGCTCCTGCCCAGTGGATGGCTTTAACCCCGTCTGTGACACTGGCGCCCGCGTGGAGTACATCACGCCCTGCCATGCTGGTTGCAGGGCCCAGGTGGTCCAGGGGGATCTGGATAAAAGCAAGGTGAGGCAGACTTCTGGCACAAACTCTGCCATGCAGAGCTCACGCAGAGTACACTGCTGCTCGTCACACGGATCTCATCTCCCTACTCCTGGGAGGCCCCTAAGGGCTGAGCCTCTTGGTTGTGGGTCCTCAGCTCCCACACAGTGCCTGGCACAGAAGAGGGACTGGGTGAAGGTTTGTCAACTGACTAACTGGCTGGGCTCTTGCCAGCCTCCTCACTGCTCTGTCTCCTATCATGTACTCTGCTTGGCTTCTTCTATTCTATAGCCTCAAGTGTGACAGAGCACACACGTGCTCCTGTCATGCCCCTCCTTAAACCCAGCCATGGCTCCCCATTGCTCTGCTGATAAAGTCCTCACTCCTTCCCTGGTATTCAGGGCCCTTCCTTGTCTGGGTCTTGCTTTCCCTCCATGAATCCTCATGGTACTTCTCTAACAAGATTTTTTGGGTTACTTGAGACATTGCATGTGTGCGTGTGTGTATATATGCGTGTGTATGCATGTGTGTGCGTGTGTGTACACATACAAGTGTGTCTTTCCAAATCTTCATGTATGCTGTTCCCACTGCCTAGAAGTCACTTCATTTCCAGGTCCTAATTTACCCACTCATCTTCAAAGATCTGGAAAAATGCTGCCTCCCTTGGAGACTTCCGGGACCCTCAGGGTGGGCTGTCTCCCTCCTTCCATGTCTGTATCCACAGGGACCACTTCTGCCCATCAGCACCCTGGGCTTTCTACAAGTGACTTCCTTCTGCAGCCTTCTATACAGACTGCTGGGAGCTAGATCTGGCTCCTCTCTCCGAGCCCAGGCTGGCAATGAAAGCTTATTGAGGCAATAATGTCCTACATCTGCCAACAGAAGGAAGGAATCAGACGGACAGAGACAGAGGGCAGAGAGCCAGAGAGTGAGAGAGCAGGAGTGTTTGGAGGCATGGAGTGAGCAGGCCTGCAGAGAGAGGGACAGGCAGAGGCCCTGGGAGATTTTAGGTGGTCACTCCTATTCTACCCATCGTACAGATGGGAAATGAAGGCCCGGGAAAGGACTGAGCAGTGCCAACAGTCTTCATACCAGAGCTAGGACTGAGCCAACGTTCTGAGTGGCTGAGGATGTAGCTCAGTAATGGAGCATTTGCCGCCACTGGTGGAATGAGGCCCAATTTCTCGCGCCACAAAAATAAAAAAATAAAACCCCTGAGGCTCTGGCCCCAGCCCATCCGCCCTTTGGATTGGCTGCAGAGGTCTGGGTTTGGTGTAGTATCTGAAGCAGGGTGCAGCCAAGACCGGGTCGGCACTCAGGGGCCTCGGGCTGGCTGGAACTGTCTCTTGCCATGTGTGCCTCCTCAGGCTGCCCGTGATCACCCTTCCACAGGGATGGGTTGATCTGCCCCAGCACAGATGCATCCGGCAATGGACTGAGGGAGAGATGTGGCAGCTGGCAGGATCTCAGGCTCTCTAGGTGGGGCTGAGAACCCTGGGGGAGAGATGCAGAGGCAGCTGGGGAGACTGAAGGCAATCGTGGGAAGAACCTGCCACCGTGGGGATCAGATGCTTGTGATGACTGATCAGAAAGACCCTGGCGAGGAGTCTCCAGCCTTGGTGCCGTCCCAGCACCTCTCCCTCGAGCCCAGGACCAGTAGCAGGAGCCCCTTGACCTTGAGGTATTTTTCCATTACCTGTCCCCCTGCTGTATCTCCAGTCACTTAGTCGACAAGCCAAGGCCCGAAAGCCACTTGTCCTGCAGTGTGAATTGGTGTCTACCCGGCTCACACACACAGCAGCCCAGCCCCTTTATGCGCATCAGCTCTACAGGACAATGCAGAGAGCGTCAAGCTGCCAAAGCCTACGTGTCTCCTCCCCTTCCTCTCCTGTCCTCCCCTGTCTTCTCTTGTCCTATCCCTCCTCTCCTCTTCTCTCCTTTCCTTGTCCTGCCCTCCCCTTCTCCCTCTTCTGCCTTTCTTCTTTTAATCTATCACCCAATCACTTCAAATCAAAATCCCTTTACTCACCCACCCCAACCCACAATGGGGCTCCTTGCGTGCCTCCCCGTCCAATCCATCCTCCAAGCCACTGCCAGAGCACACGTACCCAGGACCATCAGGTTCCATCTCTGCCATGCTCAAAATCCTCCCAAGGCCCCCAGCTCCACCTCAGGCCTTCTCACCCTGGAAAGTTTCTGAGGCTCCCATAAGTGGAGGTCACAAGCCCAGAGGGCTCCAGCTGCCCTGGGGCCACCTTGAGAGAGGACGAGCCCAATCCCTGTCTCCATCCGAAGCACCAGCGGCTGCAGTGCACAGGTCAGAAAGCTCTTTGACAGAGGAGTAAAACCCAGGCTCCTGGTTTGGCTTTGCTCCCACAGACGCCTGAGAGCTCTGGTGAGTGGACTTCCTCTCAAAGCATCTTTGGCTGGCGGTCTTCCCTGCCACCAGAGACGGTGAACACAGGGTGCAAGCAAGCGCACTGAGGACATTTCCTTGCCGTTGATGTGTCCTGTCTCGGGGTGCTCTTCCGGGTCCCTCTCCCTTATTGCTGTACCTCTCTCCTCCTATGGCTAGAGGCCTGGCCAGCCCAGGTTGTGCAGGGCAGCCTGTGTCCAGGCACCTCCTCAAGCCACCTGCACTCAGCTGGCTGTGGGCCATAGGACCACTCAGGAGCGTTCTCCTGCCACAGGCCCATAGTAACTGCCTCTTTGGGGGCTCCTGAGACCCTTCTCGCCCTTCTCTCCTCCCCAGGTTTTCTATAGCAACTGCAGCTGCGTAGCTGGGGGAGGCCCTGTGCCCGCTGGCTCCTGCGACTCAGCTTGCAGCCACCTGGTGCTACCCTTCATCCTCCTGGTCGGCCTGGGAGCAGCACTGGCCTGTGTCACCCACACACCAGCCTTAATGCTCATCTTAAGGTGAAAGCAGGGGTGGGGTAGGTGAGTTCCAAGAGGTCCTCACAGCCAGCACATTCCAAGGCGAGAGTTGGAGGGAGGAGTCACTCAAGTGTCCCCAGCCCCAGTGACAGGTCAGGCCAGGCCCTCCCTACCCTGACTTCATCCCCCTGGAAACCTTGTGAGGTGGTTTTCTCCCCACCTTGAAAAAAGGAAGACAGAGGCTCAGGAAGTTCAGGAGCTGGCCCCAGTCGTATAGCAAGTGCTGCATAGAATAGGACTGGGGCTCCAGCCAGAGCCCAGGCTCTCAACCCTATCCCCGCCACCCCGGGAGGGGAGGCCACACTTACAGCCCTGTCTTGTCCTCCCCGAGTGAGATCATCATACAGTAAGGAGGAGGTAAGCTCCCCACCCTACCTGCAATGGCTGAGCAGGGGTGCATCTAGGGCACAAACGCTACCCACATGGCCCCCAGCCTCCGTGCCCTTCAAGGCAACAGCACCTAGCAAGTGCTTACTGAGCACCCAGCCCATGTTGGGTACTACCGCATGGTACAAGATCTTCCTGGCCCTTTTTCTGAGAGTGCCTGCTGGGTCTAACAAGTTGTTGCCCAGCTCCAAGTCCAAAGTCAGGATCTCCTGGGATAGGGGTGAGATAAGAAGACCTCAAAGCAAGATAATTCCAGTCTGCTGCATTTATTTTATTCATCATCTACTTTCTAGAAAATAAAAAGGGAACAGAGCCCCTGGGAATATTAGAAGATGTGGGACTCTATGAAACAGGCTGACATGAGTGAGAAAGAAGGGGATCAGGTATCACAGGGAGCTGAGAATGTAAACTGTGGACAGCATGACTCCCAGCCTTGCCTCCGAGAGCCACGGGACCTTGGCAAAGTCGTTGAGCCTGTCTAGGTACCAGTCTGCTTATCTGTGAAATGGAGCTAACAGTCTACCTGTCTCCTAGGAGGGCAGTCAAGGTACAGTGTAGAGTTGCTCAGTCCACAGGAAGTGCTCCTTAAGCCCTTACCACTCTGTCACGGTGGTGGAAGAGCTGGAGCAGGTAGCCCACTGTCCCAGCTCCAGGCCTTGCCAAGTATAGGAGGAAGAAGAGAATTTGGTGAGACCAGGGAGCAGGGGAATAAGGGTGATGCCGGTGGTGGGGAGCGTAGGGAGGGGGGACACAGGACTTTGGTGGTCAATGGGTGTGGGCTCTGCAGGTTGAGAAGGGATGGATACAGGGTCTGAGCCCCTCGGCTGGCCCCTCAGACTGGGGGACAGGGGCATGGACAGTGGGAGAGAAGTGCGTGGGGAGAGTCCATGGTGTGGCCCTCTCGGTCCTCATGTCCCTGTGTCCCTGCTTCTAAGGGGTGTGAAGAAAGAAGACAAGACCTTGGCTGTGGGCATCCAGTTCATGCTCCTGAGAGTTCTGGGTAAAGAGCCTGGCTGGGCCCCTAGGTGGTGGTGATGGGGGTCCAGGCGCCCACTGTGCGCCAGACCTAGCGGCCACGGGCCTGAGTGGGACCTAGTCCCTGACCTTGGGGCAGCAAGTGTCTGGAAGTGGCGGAGCCACCTAATAGGAGGGAGGCTCCCTCTGGTACATAGTGAGGGGCTGGCTGAAGGCCAGATTCCTGAGCCAAGAGACCCCCTATGGCCTGGATTCCTTGAGGGCTTGCAGGGAGGCTGGGATCTCCTGGCCTGACTGTCCACTGAGCACCTCCTCTCACAGCCTGGATGCCAAGCCCTGTGATCCACGGCAGCGCCATTGACACCACCTGTGTGCACTGGGCCTCGAGCTGTGGGCGTCGAGCCGTCTGCCGCTACTACGACCTTGACCTGCTCCGAAACCGGTGAGACCCTGGCAGGGGCTGTGGGAAGGGTGCTGGAGAACCCTCAGGATCCCAGGCAGGGCACCAGTGGGGAAGCATTTGAGTGCACCTGCTTGGTGACAGGTGCTATTTCCAGTGCTGAGCTCACCAGCCCTGTGACATGACGAAAATAAAAGCTAAAGGAGGCAGCCCAAGGTCACACAACTGACAACCCACATAGCTGGGCCTTGTCTGCAAGCTCTCTGCTGACAGAGTGGACTTGAGGTCCTGGGGAGATTTGGAAGCAGCTCAGCTGTAAGACTGAGTAGAAGCTGGGAGAAAGCCCTGTCTACTCGCCTGGGGCTCAGTTTTCCCATCTGTACATTGGGGAGCTCAAAAGACGGTGAAGGCACAGCAGCTGCTGGCCTGGGGTAGATGTGGGGAAGATTTGCTAGCCAGGCTGGGGACAAGGAACAGATCATTTCCAGCTCTGAGAAGGACACAGCTCTTGTGGGCTAGGACTGCTGGGAACAGATCATTTCCAGCTCTGAGAAGGACACAGCTCTTGTGGGCTAGGACTGCTGGGGGGGGGGGCACTTCCTAGAAAAGAAAGAGTCAAAGGGCCTTGGTCAGTTAAGCAAACAGGAAATGGGAATCCTGTGTTCCTTGGGGGGGACCGTCCCAAGGTGTTCCTCAGGCCCTCTGAGCCTCTGAGAGGCTTGTACAGGGCAGAGCTGGTCTAGGTCATATCACAGTCAAGGACAGAGCATGAGAACAGGTTTCTACCCCTGCCCTGGGATCCTTCTGCAGAGCATCCAGCTCCCTCTTTCAGGAAAGGACCCCAGCAAGGGTCAGTGATCCCCAACCTCAAAGTGTCCAACTGCACAAAGAATAACATCTACTGACTCCACTCGCTGCCCACCCAAGGACGTCCAGGCCTGGGGTCTGGGGCTCTCACTTCAAGTCCCCTGTTCTTCCTCAGGTTTGTTGGTCTGCAGTTCTTCTTCAAAACTGGTTCACTGGTGTGCTTCGCCCTGGTTTTGACTGTCCTGAGGCAGCAGAACAAAGAGGAGGAGACCAAGGCAGCTGTGTCCAGCCCTGGCCTACAGCAACAACTGCTAATGCCAGGGCCAGATAAGAAGCCAAAGGATTCCAGCATGTGAGCTGTCCTGGGACCCAACCAGGACAGAGTGGCAGCCACAGTGGGACTTCCTCAGAGCCGCTTGCCCAAGATTGTCAGGAACACTGCGTTCCAGGACTGGCTCCACCACTGAATCACGAGTGACTTCACGCAAGCTACTGGCTCTCTCTGGGCCTTTGTTTTCTCATCAGAACCAAGGACTTATTTGGGGGTTTGTTGTATTGAGCACGTCTGAAGCAAGAGCGTCTTCCCAAGTCTCCCCCAGCAACCAGCTGACCCCAAATCAAGCTTTCTTGGCTGGGAGGGCTGCATATCTTCACCAGGGGCCCTAGGGTAGAGAAACTGACAAAGTAGACCAGACTCTCCTCCACACCACACACAGCCCTGCTCTGCCTCTCACCTGGAGCACCCTCCCTGAGCCTCAGTCCCGTCTTCTGTCGGGTGGGAACGGACTCGCCAGCTTTCAGGCCCATTCAGCTGTGACCATCTGCGTGGCTTGGAGACACAGGTCTCCGCCCAACCCTCAACAACTGTCCCTTTGGCGCCCCCTGGAGGCTGAGCCCAAGGCTGGCTTTTAATTAAGGGGCACCCTACAAGGAAGAGGGAGCTGGCTTCCCACTCAGGACCTCCCAGCCTGGCAAAACCCCGGGGTGAAGGCTGGCATGGAGCCTTGCCAAGAGACTCCATGGAGGGAGGGGAGACTCCCTCTTGGACTCAGGAAGTCCCTCAGGGAGCCACAGTTTGGGAGTGAACCCCAGCCCCTGCGTTAGAAGTCCTGGAGTGGAGGAGGAGACCCAGCCATACACTTAGGCAATTTCCAACATCAGAGAGCAAACTTAATTGCTTTCTCCGCATTGTCAAGATCTCACACACCTGACAAGGGGCCACCAAAGTCTCTGTGACTTTTATGAATAGAATTCAGTTTCCTCTTCTCTTCCCTAATGCCTAAGTCCCTGTCATTGGTCCTCTGTAGGTAATGTTCATTGCCATGAGGCTCAAGTTAGTGGTGGCCTCCGGTTCTTAGGGGCTGTGCCCGATCCATTGCTATGACAGGCCTTGTCTTTTCTTCCCAGTCTTGTCTGTCCCAGTTATTTCCCTGGGCCAGGAGGGTGTCTCCTGATTCTCTCAGTCCTATCTGTTGCCATCTGTACACCCTGCCTGGAGCCTATATCCTGGGAGGCACCACACAGGAAGCTATTGCTGATGGCACCCTGTATACCCAACGCTGCTGGGTGGGGGCACTCATGGCTCTTGGCCTCTGGGCAGCTCCCGGTGCCAGTGCCTGGGGCTTTCTCATGTGCAAGATGAAGACGGAGGTATAGAAGGTCTAATTTCTATCTTATTCTACCACTTAACTGTAAATGTTTAACAAATATCTGAGCCTGTATTTATCAGTGCCAGGGATTTCAAAGTCTCCTCCAAGAAGATGAAGCTTCTGTAGGTTTATATTCCTTCTCCTTCCCTCTGTTGCCCAGGTTTTGCAGATATAATTTGGAATTATAGATACAGCTTATTATTAAATTTGTTCCTGTACAATGTCTCCTCTATTACAAAAAATCCCTTCTTATAAACTGCATTAGAGGATTGCAACAACCACATTATTTCCAGTTATTTAGATTTAAATTTTACCGGGTTCATTGCTCACCATTATTTCTGGTATATTGCATCCTTCCCTCACTTTATATTCTGGTCTAATTTTCATTTGGCTGGGTTACTTCCTCGAGTCATGGTTTCCAAAATGGAAGGAGGTCATAAGGCTAGGTCTTCGCCTTTTCAGATTGTCTTACATTTTATAGAAGAGGAAACCAGCTCAGAAAGGATGAGTGACTTGCCTAAGACCACACAGGAAATAAATAATGGAGCCAATGCTGAGTCTAGATCTTGCGGGAAACAAAGCTAATACAGTTTGAGGAAGACCTCTTTAAAAAGGGAATACAAAGTTATGAATACAGGTTGAGTACCCTTTATCCAAAGTGCTTGAAATCAGAAGCGTTTTGGATTTTTGGAATTTTTTCATATTTTGTAATGCATGCATGTATGAGATATCTTAGGGATGGGGCCCTGATCCAAACACAAAGTTATGCTTCATGTGAATCCCATACACATACATTTTAGTGTGCTTGTGTTTTGACAAAAGCCCATCCCATGAGGTCAGGTATGGAATTCTCCACTGACAGTATTATGCTGATACTCAGAAAGTTTAGAATTTGGGAACACTTCATATTTCGACTTCCCGATTAAGGATGTTCAGCCTGTACCCAATTCGATGAGAAAGTGAATATTTACCTACAAGCAGAAAAAGAAAAACAAATATATAATCCAAGAAAATAACATATTTTTATTAATTTCTGCAGTCAGTTTTCCTTTTTAAAAAACACCCTTTTGTCATGATGGTTAAAAGAATTTTCTAATCTCTGCTCAAAGAAGAGCCTATAGAATTTGCATCTGTGAGCTTGCCGTCTCCTCCCCTGCCCCAGGGAGTTCAGTGGAGATGGTACATCTCCCTGCTAGATCCTAGTGGTGGTGAAGTCCAGCAGAGATTAGGGCAGCGACAAATACTGACATCCTGATGCCTTGCCTGAGTCCTGTTGCTTGTTACACATGCCGGAAAATTGCAAGGCAGGCAGAGGCTCCCCGGGAACCAGGAGTCAGGAGCCATGATTGGCATCACCTGGGATAGGCAATGGGCATCGGGTGACAGCCACATTAGGAATCTGATTAAAGACATAGACTCTCCACTTAAAGTTTTAATTTAAAAGACCATACATATACAAATGTACACAACTGGGCATACGATTTGAGAGGTTAGGGACCTGCTGAAGCCCAGGTGTAGATTGTCTAAGAGCCCATGATCCCGGATCAAAAACCCTCCATAGAGGGAGAAGACCAGAGCCAGGGAGAAAGATTTCAGCTGAGACCTTGAGTTTGCCACTGATTCACAGAGTGGCCCTGAGCAAGTGCTTGACTCCTCTGTACACTCAGTTTCTTCACCTCCAACGTGAGGCTGATTGGGCCTGTGTTCTGTCTCCCACAAGTTGTGCAGACGGATAAGACACTGTTCTGACTCACAGAACAGCACCTGATGATCTGGATCTGTAAGTTTCCTTACCTTCTTCTGTCCCCGAAGGAATTTAATGAGCACATGGAGTAGCGGGTGGGAAGGGGCAGGAAAGACAGAAGTGGGAAGCACAGCACTTTTCCCTGCCCTGGCCACAGCCCCCTTGTCCCCTGATCTCTCCTCCACTGTCAATCAGGGCTCAGCTGGCCCAGTCTTATCTCTCCCTACAGCCAGTTTGGGACAGCTTTCCTCCACCAGATTTACATTTTTATCGATTTTCTCTCTCCCTTCGGAGCATTCCCTTCCTTCTGCTTCCCCCTTGCCTGTAAAGCAGGCTCCCCTCAGGAAAAAGCAGTTCTTGGGCTAGGTGAGAAATGATGATTCAAAGATGGATTCATTTCCCACTCACTCATTCTTTCACCCACTCAACGAGCCAATATATCCCACATGTCTGCTCTGTGCCCGGTGCTGGCAGTGCTGGGGACACAGCCATGCATCAGACACAGCTTGCTTTCAGGAGATTCCTCATGTAAACAGACTCACTGACAAGTAGTAACACAAGCACAAGTAGTCACCCAGGAAAGGGAACAAGAGGAAACCATGGGCTCTTCCCGGGACCAGCTGGAAAAGACTTCCTGGTAGAGGGAATAGCAGAACTATTAGAGATAAGGTAGGGATTCCCCCGTTGGAGAAGAGGCTACCAGGCAAGGGAAAGAACAGGATGAGCAAAGAGACAGGGCATGGGATGTCTGAGATATGATGACAAGAACATCTGTGTGTGCAGGACAATCAGGAGACACAGAAGGGACCAAGCCTTGAGTTCCAGCTGAAGGCTTTGGATGCCTTCCTGAGGGCAAAGAGAAGCCCTTGAAGCACTGATTGATGGATTATTTCATTGACCGGTTATTTTAAGCAGGGAGTGACATGACAAGATTTGTGCTTTAGAAAGGCAGGTGGCTGCACCATGGGGGCCTGGAGTGGAAGAGAGAAGCTAGTAGCTCAGGCAGGAGGCAGGAGCAATAATCAAGAGTAGCAGGAGCCCTTGAACCAGGTCAGGAGTGGCATCCTAGAAGTGGAACATCTCAGCTGAGTCTTGAAAGATGAGTAGTAGGAAAGCACCTGGTGGAGAAGTTGGGAAGGGTGTTCAGGCTAAAGAAACTGCAGAGATAAAGGCTCAGCACACAGAAAGCTCTTGGCAGGCTGAGGAAATTTCCATTAGTTCTGTAGGGCTGCAGCATGGCTGAGGGTGAAGCTGAAGGGGTAGGCTGGGGCCTGCAGGGATGTTCAGTGTTCTCTGTCCCCTAAGCCAGCCCCAAGGGAAGTAGCAAGGGCCCTCCCCACATGTACATGTACAGAGGGAGCTGCGCGGGGATGGGAGCCCTAAGTGAGATGCTGCTTCCTCAAACAAACCTCTCCTTGTTCTTCCCATATAGTAAATAAATAAACCAGTCCCAGAAAGGGTACCAACTTCTCCAAGATCACTCAAGAGCTCACATATCCCTTCTTCAAACCACTGTGCTGTTTCTCAAAAGCTTATTTGTCCCTGGGCCACATACACAACAGATGTAGTAGGTCTTGGCTACTCTGGCTGGAATTTTTCTAAGGGAGGAAGAAAAACAGACCAGAGAAAGAGATTTCTTTTTCACGGCCCCATTTTTTCACATTGAAACTGAGGATATCCCAGCTGAGAAAACAGAACCAGGTGCCTTTGGCTTTGGAATCCCATAAGCAGAAGGGCAAATCCCAGCTCTACCATGTACAGAGGTGGGGGGGGTCACTTCACACAGCTGCGTTTTCTCATCTGTAAAAGGGAGAAACAAGCTCCAACCATCAGAAGTGTTGTGAGGACTTCATATGATAGTGTAGTACTCCACAGTAATTACCTATTGCTGAGGAACAAGTTACCCTGTAATTTAGAAGCTTAAAACAAGCATTTATCATCTCACACAATTTCTTAGGGTCAAGAACTCACCAGTGGGTTAACTGGGAGGTGCGAGCTCAGGATCTCTACCGAGAGAAGAATCAAGCACCAACCAGTGTCGCCAGCATCAGAAGCCTAAGCTGCAACTGGAGAACCCACTTCCAAGTTCACTTAGTTCCTTGTTGACAGATGGCCAAAGGCTTCTCTTCTTTTTCACATGCACCTCTTCTTTTTTTTTTTTTTTTTTTTTTGGTTTTGGTTTTTCTCCGGTACCGGGAACCGAACTCACGACCTTGCACTTGCCAGGCAGGCGCTTTTGCCGCTGAGCTAAATCCCCAGCCCCTCACATGCACCTCTTCACAAGGCTGCTCACCACTGCCAGCTTGCTATCCCTAGAGTGAAGGACCCAAGAAAGAATATGTGCTACCAAGATGGAAGCCAGAGTGTCTTTTGTAATCTAATCTTGGAATGGCACACTATAACTTTTGCCATATGCAATTAGTCAAACAGACTAATCTTGGTATTATGTGGAAGTAAAATGCAAACGTGTATGAATATTAGGGCAGTGTGTGTCATCAGGAACCATTTGGAAGCTGGTTCTAACAAGCATCCAGAACAGTGCCTAGCACACAGTACGTACTTCTTCACTAATCGGTGCTATTACTTTCAAAATGATCAGTCTTAATGGGAAGACAAGATGTAGACATGAAAAATGAGAAAGCTTGGCTACAAGGAATGCAGCACAAGTGAGGCAATGCTCAATTACATGGTAGAAGAGGGTGTGCTAGACAAAGGACTGGTAACCAGGGAAGATTTCCAGGCAGAGGTAACAAGGAGAGGGAGGGCAGTTCATACAGAAGACAGGTGAGTATGGCCAGCAGTATTGGTTGCCTTCCCACAGCCAATCTCCTCTTCCCCATTCCAGTAGTAAGATGCCCACCCCATGGATAATCCAAGCCAGCATTAAAATGCCTTTCCCTTTACCAGTGAGTGGGCTAAGAATAGACATGACTTCTTTGGGCCAATGAGAGGAAAGGGGACAGTCTTCTGGGAAAGCTTTCCTCTTGGATGAGAGAATAGCTGAGAGGATAAGAACCCTTTTTATTCCCATACCCTTCCTTCCTGCGTGGCAGGACATCACACTTCATGCTGCATCAGTCATCTTGTGAGCACAAGGAGAATCTCCTCCAAAGCTTAGAATGGGGAAAGCCTACATCATCAGAGACTTTGTTCAATTCCCAGACCAACCCTGGTACCATTTTCTTTTGGCTTCCTTGTTTTAAAAAAGAAAAGATCTAAGCCTCTCTGAGATCAATGGTCTCTTTCTTGCACCCTAACTGATTCAGTGAGTAGAGCACCCCAGTCCCCTCTGGGGTTGTTTTCTTTTTCTGAGGAAGACAGAAAGAGGCCCCAGTTTGGAAGACAGGAGTCCTTGGTCTGACCCCAGCTCTGCCTTTTAATTGCTCTGTGATCTTAAGCAAGTCCTTTCCCCTGCTGGACCTCTAATAATTATAGCTAATATTTATTGACTGCTTGCTCTGTGCCAAGCACTCTGCTGAGAACTTCCCTTGCATTATCTCATTTATCCTCACATTAACTCTATTATGTCAGTATTGCTATTCTCTTTATTTCATGGATAAAGAGACTGAGGCCCCAAAACAAGGC